GGTTGTGGGTAGGATAGTTCTGCTCATGGGGCTTCAACTGACGTGAAGCATACGCTACAACCTGGCCATCCTGCATAAGTACACACCCAAACCCCGCCTCGAAGCATCACTATAGACGGTGAAACTCCAAGAAGGATCTGGAATAGTCAAAATTGGTGCCGTCGTAAGCCTCCTTTTCAGCTCCTTAAAACTCGACTCACAACGGTCTGTCCACTCAAACTTCACAGACTTCCTTGTCAACTGGGACAAAGGGAGGGCAATCTTCGAAAACCCCTCAATAAATCTGCGATAATATCCTGCAAGGCCGAGGAAACTACGAACATCGGACGGATTCTTTGGTGCTGACCAGTTCTGAACGGCGGCAATTTTGGAAGGATCTACTTCAATACCTGCTTGAGTAATAATGTGGTCAAGAAAGGCCACTCGCTGAAGCCAAAATTTGCATTTAAAGAACTTTGCATATAACTTTTCACGTCTAAGGGTCTCAAGAACGGCCCTCAGATGCTCTTCATGCTCCTTCTGGCTCTTGGAATAGATAAGAATATCATCAATGAATATAATAACGAACCGATCAAAAAAAGGATAAAACACACGGTTCATCAAGTCCATGAATACTGTCGGGGCATTGCTGAGGCCAAACGGCATAACCACGAACTCGAAGTGACCGTATCTCGTACAAAACGTTGTCTTAGGTATGTCTGACTCCTTGATTTTTAGCTGATGGTAGCCTGAACGTAAATCAATCTTGGAAAACACGCAGGCGCCCCTCAATTGATCAAATAAAAATCATCGATTCTGGGAAGCGGATATTTATTCTTGATTGTTAACCGGTTGAGATCCCGGTAGTCAATACACATATGCATAGATCCGTCCTTCTTCTTGACAAAGAGAACGGGTGCTCCCAAAGGCGATACGCTCGGTCGAATAAAACCGAGATTCAGCAACTCTTGAATTTGAGTCTTTAATTCCTGCAATTCCTTAGGTGCCATTCTGTATGGTGCCTTTGAAATGGGTCCAGCTCCAGGGATAAGATCGATAGAAAATTCTACATGTCGGCTGGGTGGACCACCGGGAAGCTGATCTAGAAACACGTCCACGAACTCACGAACAATGGGAATGTCATGAGGTGATCGTGCTTTTGGCTCATCTCCGACGAGGCTCACAAGGTAACCCTGGCAATCACCCCGTCGAAGAATCCTCCTGGCTTTCGCCATAGAAATAATATGAGGCAGAGTACGAGTCCTGGAGCCGAAATAAGTGATCTGATCATCTCCCGGAAGATAAAGAGTAATCTCCCGGTCATGACATCGGATATTTACGTGAAAATGTGTTAGCCAATCCATACTGAGTATGAGGTCAAAATCCCTCATCTCGATAACATAAGCATCAGAAGTCAAAATACGGTCGCCGATGGAAAGGCTGAGATCGGTGGCTCTGACATTCGTCACTATCTTTTGTCCCAAGGCTAAAAATCACCTCGAGAGGATCGACAGTGGTAAGATAATGGACTCCTATAGCTTCAAGACATCAGCGTGATATAAAAGAATGAGTCACTCCAGTGTCAAATAAGGCATAAATAGGCACATCATTAAGAACAATCATCCCAGACATGATACCTGGATGCTGGTCGGCCTCCCTCTGGTCAACTGTAAAGACATGGACCTGTTGTCTGCCGCGTTGTTGTTGCTGGGGTAGTGGTGGCTGTTGCCTGGGTTGCTGCTGTTGAGGTTGCTGAGGCGGTTGTCGTTGTTGTGGTTGTTGTTGCAGTCGTTCTGGGCAGTTGGGGCTGATATGGCCGGGTTGGCG